TGATTTGCATGAGGTGACTGCATGTGACACTAATGATCATCGAGGTTATTTACTTACATTGAAGTCTAATTAATAAATAACAATTTGAAAATATCAAAAAAAAAATTATCGAAAAGAATGTTAAAATATTTCTTTTGTTATTTTAATATTTATGCCCTACACCACATAGTGGTAAGGATATTATGTTTTGTAGGATCTTTATAGAACCTCTTTTTGAGTCGATTTATGCATGTTATTCGGTCCGTCCATCTGTCCATGTATTTTTGGGAACAAAATGCAGGTCGCATTTATTATCCGATTGAGATGAAATTTTCCAAGCAATAATTGCGTGGACCAAGGACAAACCCTTTTGAAATTGATGAGAATCGCTTCAAATTTAGGTATAGTTCTCATGTATATCTTCAAATGTTTCCGGATCAATTGAACAGTCCATGTATGTACATCAAATTTGGAGAAAATCGGTTCAGATATAGCTCCCATGCATATATTTTACCCGATTGAAGGGTTCAAGACCCTCACATGAGTGATTAACAATCCACAACAATGATATTTTGTACCAGATATCAATCATAGCTCAGAAATAATTGCCTAAAATTTAATCAATATCGGTTCAGATATGGATATAGGTTCTAAATATATTTTTATCCGATATCAGGTTAATTGTGCACCAAATGACTAATATCGGCTCAAATGAACTGAATTTTGGCAATTCCAACTAAATTCAATCTTAGTGAAAATCGGTTCAGATATAGCTATAACTCCCATATATAAATCTGCAACAAAGTCAAACACCATAATTTTTACATTTTCTTAAATTTTATTGAATGAAAGCAAAAAATACCGGAAATAACATCAAATTTTAGAATAAGCTTAGATTTTATCGAATTGGTCACCTTTGGCACGAACTATGGCCTTCAAACGGCCAATGAAACCGTCATACGCTGCCCGAATGTTGCTATGAGGTATTTTGGCTCATTCCCGGCGAAGTGCTTGCTTGAGGTGATCGACAATTTGGCATTTTTTAGGGCGCTTTCCAAAATACTCCAGACACCATAGTCCAACGAATTGGTATCCGGAGATTTTGGTGGCCATTTCGCGCTGGAAATGAAGCGAGGAACCTCATTTTGTAACCATTCTTGGGTGGCGAGTGTTGGGTGCCCAAGGCTTTAATACACCCTCCAGAATATTTTCGCAATAATATTTGGCATTTATTCTGATGCTACGGTCGATTAATACGAGCGGAGAGCGTCCATCGGCTGTTGTGGCGTCCCACACCATCACCATGGCAGCGCTTGAGTACTGGTGGCCAACCGAATGTGCACCACATTTTCAGCTGACCTCTTTGGCAAGTAAACACGATCATTTTGTTTGTTTACAAACTGCTGGACAACGAATGTTTTCTCATCGGAGAAAACTAAATTCGGCACTTCACCACTTTCGGCCAAGCGAAGCAACTCTTTAGCTCTTTTGAGTCTATTTTTTTTTTTTTATACCCTCCACCATACTATGGAGGGTATATTAATTTTGTCATTCCGTTTGTAACTCCTCGAAATACTCACGTCAGACCCAACAAAGTATATATATTCTTTATCAGCGTAAAATTCTAAGACGATTTAGCCATGTCCGTCTGTCTGTCTGTGTGTCTGTCTGTCCGTCTGTCTGTCTGTCTGTCTGTCTGTCTGTCTGTTGTAATCACGCTATCTTTCGAACAAATTGAGATAGAAGGCTAAAATTTTGCACACATGTATATTTTGCCAGTAGGCAGGTTAAGTTCGTAAATGGGTAGGTCCAAGTTTTCATATAGCCCCCATATAACGGTAACTCTCGATATTCGGTATTTTGATGATTTTAGCGACATTATTCACCGGAATTGTTTCAAATTTGGCATTTGAAGTTCGTAATGGAAACTACAGCCTAAGACAGAAAATTATCTGTGCAGGTCCACGTCTTCGTATAGCCCCCATATAACGGTACCCCCCGATATTCGGTATTTTGATGATTTTAGCGACATTATTTAACGGAACCGTTCCAAATTTGGAATTTGAAGTTCGTAATGGATACTACATCCTAAGTCAAAAAATGAGCCATGTAGGTCCACGTCTTCCTATAGCCCCCATATACCGTACCTCCCCCGATATTCGGTATTTTGATGATTTTAGCGATATTATTTAACGGAACCGTTCCAAATTTGGTATTTGAAGTTCGTAATAGATACTGCAGCAGAAAACAGAAAATGTACCATGTAGGTCCACGTCTTCGTATAGGCCCCATATACCGTACCCCCCGATATTCAGTATTTTGATGATTTTAGCGACATTATTTACCGGGATTGTTTTAAATTTCGCATTTGAAGTTCGTAATGGATACTTCAGCCCATGCCAGAAAATTGTCTGTGCAGGTCCACGTCTTCGTATAGCCCCCATATAACGGTACCCCCTATATTCGGTATTTTGATGATTTTAGCTACATTATAAACAATTTTTTCTTCAAGTTTCGCATTTAAATGTTGTAATAACTTATGACAAAAGTTGCCTATGCAGGTATACGTCGTCGTATAGACATTCGGTATTTTTAAGATTTTAACAGAATTTTAAAGGATTTTTTATACCCTCCACCATACTATGGAGGGTATATTAATTTTGTCATTCCGTTTGTAACTCCTCGAAATACTCACGTCAGACCCAACAAAGTATATATATTCTTTATCAGCGTAAAATTCTAAGACGATTTAGCCATGTCCGTCTGTCTGTCTGTGTGTCTGTCTGTCCGTCTGTCTGTCTGTCTGTCTGTCTGTTGTAATCACGCTATCTTTCGAACAAATTGAGATAGAAGGCTAAAATTTTGCACACATGTATATTTTGCCAGTAGGCAGGTTAAGTTCGTAAATGGGTTATGTAGGTCCAAGTTTTCATATAGCCCCCATATAACGGTAACTCTCGATATTCGGTATTTTGATGATTTTAGCGACATTATTCACCGGAATTGTTTCAAATTTGGCATTTGAAGTTCGTAATGGAAACTACAGCCTAAGACAGAAAATTATCTGTGCAGGTCCACGTCTTCGTATAGCCCCCATATAACGGTACCCCCCGATATTCGGTATTTTGATGATTTTAGCGACATTATTTAACGGAACCGTTCCAAATTTGGTATTTGAAGTTCGTAATGGATACTACATCCTAAGTCAAAAAATGAGCCATGTAGGTCCACGTCTTCCTATAGCCCCCATATACCGTACCTCCCCCGATATTCGGTATTTTGATGATTTTAGCGATATTATTTAACGGAACCGTTCCAAATTTGGTATTTGAAGTTCGTAATAGATACTGCAGCAGAAAACAGAAAATGTACCATGTAGGTCCACGTCTTCGTATAGGCCCCATATACCGTACCCCCCGATATTCAGTATTTTGATGATTTTAGCGACATTATTTACCGGGATTGTTTTAAATTTCGCATTTGAAGTTCGTAATGGATACTTCAGCCCATGCCAGAAAATTGTCTGTGCAGGTCCACGTCTTCGTATAGCCCCCATATAACGGTACCCCCTATATTCGGTATTTTGATGATTTTAGCTACATTATAAACAATTTTTTCTTCAAGTTTCGCATTTAAATGTTGTAATAACTTATGACAAAAGTTGCCTATGCAGGTATATTTTAAAGGATTTTTTTTATTTTATTTATTTATTTATTTTATTTTTTTTTTTTGGAAATTGCCAAATTAGTACCAAATGGTGGAGGGTATTAAAAGTTCGGCCCGGCCGAACTTACAGCTTTTTTACTTGTTTTTTCTATTTTCTGTTTGGAATTTCAATGGCTTTACCCTGAGTTTATTTTTCAATATTTGCCAAATGGAATATTGCGATCTGTTCAGCTCACGAGCCATTTTTCGGCCAGTGCGACGCGGGTTTCGATCAAGTCGCTTCTTTACTTTTCCAACCATTTCTTCGGATGTTGCTGTTTTCTTCGGTTAACTTCCTTGACGTCGGGCTACGCTACCAGTATAACTGTAACGAGCGATGGTACGAAACACAAAAGATTTATTCACATTTAAAATCCGAAGTGCTCTAACGATAGCCACCTGTGGTTTTACAGTCAAATATAAAGAAATCACACTATCACGCTTGAATTCCATCAGGAATAACTTTTTTTGTGGAAAATTCTCACCAAAATGCTTTTGTACGCTTGTAAAAAATATAATGAGCTGTCACTTGAGAAATTTTAAAAGCTTTCGGTCGAGCGGATTAGAAATGACAGCAGTCTGAATTTGGTTGCAGTTTTTCATCCGATTTGGGATTTTAAATCCCTCACATGCGTAATATGCACCCCACAGCAATGATTTTTGATACCGGACATCAGATGCAGCTTGAAAATACCTCTGCAAAATTTTACGGATATCGGTTCAGATTTGTATTTACATTTTTTGTGGCCTTTCCTTACTTTCTTAAATATTGAAAAAATAGCTTTTTGATTGAATATAAGTTTATTTTATTTTTTAATTTTTCCACTTCTAAGATGTGAATGAACCCAGTATCTGATGAAATATTAAACTGGAGTGTTTAATACCACTCCAGTTTAATATTCTCCAATTCAAATGCAATCAATTTGTTAGACCTTCGAGTTACAAAAATGTATAATCAATTATCTTAATATTAAAACGAATGATATAATAATTATATTGCCTTTTTAACAAAGGGCAAACTTACTGCTTTTGGCAAATTATCGAAATTAATTGTAAAATTTTACCCAAAACAAAAAGAAAATAAATAAATGAAAAAGCCAACTTGCTATAAATAGATAATCTACCCTTTCACCGTTCAATGAAAAAAAAAAAAAAAATAATAACCCCGCTAACCAATTTGAAATAGAACTACCCACAATGCAGCTGTTTAAATAAAATAATGACGCCAAAAAAGAAAATTAATAAATAAAATAATAAATCGCCAACACACAAATTCAATTTAACAACCATATAAATTTCATTTAATATTCTTTTAGCCAAGGAAGAAATAAAAAAGGAAAAAAACAACACAACAAAACAACATCCATAAATTTCCATGGAAATTATAACGAAATTATTGCAACTCTGATATCAGTGACCAATAACACTAACAGTTCAAACAAAATTTAATTGAAACGACCTACAAAGAAACAAAAAATACAACTAGAAATCAACAAAAATAACAACAGCAACAAACAAACTTGTTCAATTAAAAGTATTTCCAGTCATAACAATAAATTAAAAAGTGAACACGACGACGTTAGCGCCTTACAACTTGGGGTATACAACTCAAACACCCACCCGCCCGCCTCAACTGGAACATCAAACTTTCGTTAACCCCAAAAAAGAAACGAAACAAAACAACACCAAATAATCGGCAATGCAGTAAAAATTCTTTTCAACAAAACAAACATCATCATAAATTTTAACAGCATTTGCATTTTATTTGACCACACAACCTCTCTCCCTCCCTCACACATCACATCGTTGCTTCAATTCCCACGGAAATACATTGCAACCGATACGACGGAGGACATTCATATTTTTTTTGTTTTGTCATAGAAATGGATTAAATTGTGTCAACTTGTTATTTTGTACCACTGCCAAAACAAATAAAGCAAACAGAGAAATAAAAGAACCATTCGAACGAAGCAAATGTTAAATTCTAAAACATCAAACACCAGCAAAGCCAAAACAACAGCAGCAACAACAATATCCAACACACCATTGATGGTGCAGTGAACTGAAGAGGAGTGCCTGCCAGAATTGCTTGCAATCAGTTAACACAATACAAGGTATGTTGCAGCCATTCATTCACTAATGACTTTAACTTTACTGTTGCAGGAAAAAAGTGGTCTCTTGAAAACTAACTAAATCATCATGTTTATTTTGATCTTAATTATACCCTACACCACATAGTGGTAAGGGTATTATGTCTTTGTGCATTTGTTTGTAACATGGAGAAGGAAACGAGATAGACCCATAGTTACTTTTGAGAACCTTCATAGAATCACTTTCTGAGTCGATTTATGCATGTCAGTCCGTCTGTCCGTCCGTCTGTCCATGTATTCTTGTGAACAAAATGCAGGTCGCATTTATTATCCGACAATATGTTTTTGGCCCAAGGACGAACCCTATTGAAATTGGTGAGAATCGGATCAAATTTAGATATAGCTCCCATATATATCTTCATCCGAATTCGGGTTAAATATGCACCAAATGTCCACTATCAGTCCAAATTACCTGAATTTTGGCACACCCAACCGAGTTCGGCCTAGAAGCAAGTATATCAAATTTGGAGAAAATCGGTTCAGATATAGCTATAGCTCCCATATCCCTTCATCCGATTTGATCTTTAAGTCCCTCACATTCCTACTATGCACTCCACAACCGTGATATTTGGTACCAGGTATTAGATGGAGCACAGAAATAGCTGTTTTAAATTTTATCGAAATCGGTTCAGATTTGGATATAGCTCCCATATATATCTTCATCCGATTTCGGGTTAATTGACCACCAAATGGCCAATATCAGCCCAAATGGCCCGAATTTTGGCACATGTGACCGAGATTAGCCTTAAAGCAAATACAACAAATTTGGAGAAAATCGTTTCAGAAACAGCTATAGCTCCCATATATATGTTTTATCCGATTTGGTGTTTAAGCCTCTCACATTCGTAATATGCACTCCACAAGAATGATATTTGGTACCAGATATAAGATACAGACCAGAAATAGCTGTTTGTAATTTTATCGAAATCGGTTTAGATTTGGATATAGCTCCCATATATATCTTCATCCGATTTCGGATTAATTGTGCACCAAATGGCCGATATAAGTCCAAATGGACTGAATTTTAGTACATCGGACCAAATTCAGCCTAGAAGCAAGTATATCAAATTTAGTGAAAATCGGTTCAGATATAGATATAGCAACCATATATATGTTTCATCCGATTTAGTGTTTTAGTCCCATACATTCGTAGTATTCACTCCACAACCGTGATATTTGGTACCAGGTATTAGATGGAGCACAGGAATAGCTGTTTTAAATTTTATCGAAATCGGTTCAGATTTGGATATAGCTCCCATATATATCTTCATCCGATTTCGGGTTAAATGTGCACTAAATAGTCAATATCAGCCCAAATCACCTGAATTTTCGTACATAAGACCGAATTCAGTCTAGAAGCTAATACGTAAAATTTGGAGAAACCCGGTTCAGAGATAGCTATAGTTCGTAAAATGCACGATAGAATTAGATAGATTTTGATTTTGTACCAAATATCTCATAGAGCTCTGAAATGCCCTGTATAAACCATTTTACGAGAGCTCTACTAAATATGCATAGTGGTGTAGGGTATCATGTAGTCGGCCCCGCCCGACTTTTGAGCTTTCCTTACTGGTTTTTTTTTTTAAATAGACAGGGAAAATGTAAAAAAAGAAGAAAATAGGATACCTTACAGCACTATCATTTAAGGTAAAATGTCTGTAGATATAAAAATCTTTGGCCTGGATATTGCAATATTGTATGTTTGTTTGTAATTTATGGACTCGAAAACCGCTAAACTGATTTTCCTGAAAATGTCCATGTATTCTACAACATTGCCTAAAAGTAACATAGGCTATATACATTTTTGAAATTCCACTTGGAACTGGGGATATAGCATCAGAATCGGAGGTACCTCCCAAAAATTTAGATTTTATATGCACATACCTACTGATCGATTACAGATACAATCTCCAAATTTGGAAGGCGTAACGGAATTTGGAACAAAAATAAATTTGCCAAATTATATTGAAATCGGTTCAGATTTGGATATAGCTCCCATATATATTTTCGACCGATTTCGCTTCTTTGGTGCCTTAAACACGATCTTAATGTTCGATTCCAATGAAATTTGGAAGGTGTGACGGAATTTGATCCGAAAATAATTTTGTCAAATTTTATTGAAATCGGTTCAGATTTGGATATAGCTCCCATATATATTTTCGGCCGATTTCAAGCAATTGATGCACCAAACACGATACGTATGCCCAATTTGAATGAAATTTGAAATAAGTAACGGAATTGGGAATAAAAATTAATTTGCCAAATTATATTGAAATCGGTTCAGATTTGGATATTGTTCCCATATATATTTTCGACCGATTTCATGTATTTGATGCATCAATGTATCAATGTGTATATCAAATATCAATGACATTCAGAATGTGTAATTGAATTTGGTCTAACGATTAATTTATCAAATTATATTTAAATCGGTACATATTTGGATATAGCTCTCATATATATTTTCGGCCGATTTCCCATATTTGATGCACCAAATGCGATACGTATGCCCGGTTCCAATGAAATTTGGCTTGAGTGATTATATTTGGTACATAAATAAATTTGCAAAACTGTAATGAAATCGGTAAAGATTTGGATATAACTCCCATATATATTTTCGACCGTTTTCGTCTATTTTATTCCTCAAACAATGTGTTTATATTCGATTTCAATAAAGTTTGGAATGCGTAACGGAATTTAAAACGAACATACATTAGCCAAATTATATTGAAATCGGTTCAGATTTTGGTATAGCTTCCATATATATTTTATGGATGGTTTGGCGGAATTTGGTGTAAAAGTAAATTCTTTTCAAATTATATTGAAATCGGTTCAGTAGGGATATGATTTTATTAAGAAGCATTGATCCACAAAGCCTTTGCAATTGTATAAGGCTAACTGTAAAAAACGACACAACAATTTTATTGAGGAACGGATTATTACGGGGAAGTATGTTGCTTCCTCGAATTCTCTAATTGCAACAGAAATGCCACTCAACTTCAAAAGATTGCAGTTTCCAGCATACTTGCCATTTGCTATAAAATTAAACAATCCCAAGGACAAACCCTTCGTATAAGCGGACTAAATTTGACATGTTCCTTCTTTTCTCATGGTCAGCTTTCCTGGCATATTCACGCATTGGTAGACTGATGTATTTATTTGTGTATGCATAAATGTATTACAACAATTACGTTTTTTGTAGTTTTGAATTTGTCTTTTTTAACCAACAAATGTTCGCATATAAAATTTTCAATTCATATAAAATCAAAAGCGGTCCACTCTTTCTTTTACCACCCCCACAAAAGATGAAAATTTCCACAGCAAATAATTTACCGTATTTAGCAAGAAAGGATCATGATATTTTGTACAAACTTTGTAAATCCCAATATTTTCATCACTGCTACGTCGGGTGCGAAAATTGAGAATATCGACCTGCTCCATCTAGTACCTCCCCCACAAATGGTCTTAATTTGAAATACGAAGTAATACGATTATTTTCGAATTTCACAAACACCAATATTTCTACTAAGACAAGACCTGTTGCGGGGATCGTAGATATCGGTATACTCCTTATGGAGTAGACCCAGAAAATGGTCAAAATATTGAAATAAAACAACAAAACTCTCATGCGCTTCGGCATGAGCTTCTTACTTTATCTACATTTCACACATTCCAATATTTCTTCTGACATACGAATTGGTGTAATGGTGAGAAATATCGGTCCATCTCTACTGGTACCTGCCCCACAAATGGTCACATTTTTCAGTATTTAAATCTCACATTATTTTGCGGAACAAGTTAGTGTTTCTTTTTAAACTTGGTATACGAAATCTATCGGCCCACTCCTTCCAAAACTTAAAATAGCAGATACGTTGCAAAATTTATATCAGGCCTAATCTAAGATTTGAAATGGAAAATATTGGCACACTCCTTCGGAATCACTCCCCATAAAAAGTCAGGACTTTGATCCGCCGACAAAACCGATTGGCAACACTGAATTAATGTGAATTTATTTCCATTAAATTTGAGGAAGGCATTTATCCAACGTATATGACCTCTTGTAGACAATATCATTGGTATAGGGTGCACCTTACGAAAATCAGGAGGCTTCTGAAAAGAACCGCCAGAATTATGACATTTTTACTACCTATATCTTTTCTTCTTTTTAAGTAAAATAATATAAAATCCTAATTCGATAAAAAAATCACGAACAAATGATTTGAAAATTAGTATTTATGAGAGAGACACATTCAGTTTGAGATACTTAAAAAACTTAGCTCATATCTCCCGTTGAACGAATATTGTTGTGTATAAGCTTGAACGACGCGGGGAAATACTGCGACATTATATTAAAATCATGGAAGAGAAGCACCATATGCTCCGTGAGTAGAATAGAAACATTTTCGCATTTGCTGGCTGAAAACCTACTCACACTATTGAAAAGCCGATGCATTTAAGAGAAGTCAATGTTTGGTGCGGATTTTGGGTTCAGATGCATAATTAGATCATTATTCTTTGGGAACGAGCAAGGAGTGTCCACTACGTTATCTGGCTTTTTGTTCAAAAAATTGAATAAGGGGATATTCGCAAAATTTTGTTTCAACGAGGCTTTACTACATTCCACGTAGCTTTAGATACGCTCGAATTAAAAGAAAAAAATTATTATTCTTTTGTTTTGCAATTTAATTACATATCCTTCAAGGTGGGAGAAATTCAGGTTTTTTGTTGAGTGATCTGCTACACTCAATCCACAATTGCTTCGTGTTCGAGTTATCGCTAACTTATTAGCTTAATGTGTCGTTGAAACAAAAAAATTTACATTTTTGTGTCAATATTTGAAAACATTTGTTAAAGACTAAAATATTTTTGCATTCTAACGAAGTCAAACAGAAAATGTTTAATGAGTCTTATTCACAGCTCACAGAATGCCAAGGGTCATGGTGTCCAAAGGTCTTTTGCGCTAG